TAATACTCATTGCAATACAGTAACAGGAGACAGGCAACAACTGTCTGGAAAAAACTTCTACTTCTACTACTACGCTAGCTATTATGGGGTTCGACTTCTTCTTTAACAGGTTCCCTTTAAGCAGGAATTTGGTATGTCAGTTGTTGTAAATTGTAATAATATAGCCTTCCTCTATCGTGTCTCTATAAAGCTTATGTGTTACAACAAAGATTGGTCATGTTTAGAACAGTACGTTCCAGAATTGACACGTGTGGACTTTTCAAAAATAAAACCATTGACTCCTTCTTTCAGTAGACAGACGATTTAAAACGGATGTTTCACTCACAATTGAGTTATCTTTACCTAATCAAGACTTCTTATCCAGTCTAATACATGTACGACAGACTCCAAACCGAGAAAAACTATTGACTCATTCTTTCAGTAGACAGACGACTTAAAACGGATTTTTCGCTCACAATTGAGTTATCTTACTTAATCAAGACTTCTTATCCAGTCTAATACATGTACGACAGACTCCAAACCGAGAAAAACTATTGACTCATTCTTTCAGTAGACAGACGACTTAAAACTGACTTCTCATTCACAATTGAGTTATCTTCCTAACCAAGACAGTCTTATCCAGTCTAATACGACAGACTCCAAACCGAAGCCTGTGAGTCATTGCGCTATACATGGTCTCATATTGTCATTAGGCTACAGCAAGTAACTTTTATGGATAACATGCTCCTCCGACTCCAAATCTAATGCGATAGGGCAAAAAAATATAAGGCGGGCCAAAAAGCAAGATTTCTACATTATTCAATTCTGACATGTTAAACAAGAAATGATACATATATTGTGCAACTTAACTGCTAACTTGTACAACATCCATTGTCACTGAAACATGAAAGTTTTCAATCATTGTACAAATGGTTTTGATTCAGTGGGAATATCACATATAAAAGGAATGAAATACATCACTGCATCAAAGTAGAAGACAAAACAATAAATCGTAGTCTTGTCTTGTCTCCTCTCTTCATATTTATCTGCCATCCACCTTCCGGCATGGCAACAGACATCTTTGCCCATTTTCGGCATGTTGACCACTGTCATAAGAAACAAAATTTCTTGTTTTTTCCCCCAAAATCAGGCAAAAATTAATGCGCGCGCTGATGTCATCCATAAAACTTACTTGCTGTGGCCTTAGCTACAACTTCTCTTTCTAGTCAAGTTGACGCCTGTTAACTCTTACTGTATCAGACAGAAAACAACTTGAACTTTGCAGAAGAAAGAACCGGAACATTTCTTACGTGTGGGCAAAGTTAGGCATTGAAAGATCACTGTACTAGAAAAGGCTGAGGAAGCATATCTACACTTCGTGTTTGTCTGTTTTAAGCGGAAGTATATATCTTAACGTGTCAGTAAAGTTACGTAATGGCATACCAACTCACTTAAATGACGTTAAGAAGAAATTTGTCTTTCTTGGATGTACGTGTTTTGTTTAAAGCGGAAACTTTTAAAGGTGTTAGCAAAGTTACGGAATGACACAAAAATGTGCTTATCCGACCTAAAACGGAAGTTTCTACCTACCTTTACGAGTCTTGTCTGTATATTTGCAACGTAAACGTTTTAACGTATCAGCGAAGTTACGTCACACAACAACACTGTACAAAAATAACCCTAAGGCCCCAGCAAGTAATTTTTATGGATGACATCAGCGCTCGCATAATTAGATTTCGCCTGAATTTGAAAAAAACAAACAAGAAATTTTGTTGCCCTATGAAAATCGGCAAAGATATCTGTTGCCATGCCGGAAGGTGAATGGCAGATAACTATGAAGAGAGGGGACAAGAAAAGGCTCTGATTTAATGTTTTGTTTCTTACTTTGATGCAGTGGTATGTGATGGTGGCAGTGTATATGTGATGTTCCTACTGAATCAAAAACATTTGTGCAATGATTGAGTCAAAATTTGAAGTGTAAGAACCTTGTTTTTTTCGGCCCGTCTTGTTTTTTTCTGCCCGCTCGCATTAGATTTTGAGTCTGCTGCGGAGGATGTCATCCATAAAATGTACATGCTGTGGCCTAGATAAGCCTTTACCTGGATTCCGTGCTTAAAACGGAAACATTTTAACGTGTCAGCGAAGTTACGTAATCACAAAACACTGCTCTAAAACAACCCCAAACCACCGTTACCCAATTTGTCTTACCCGAACGCATAGTGTTTCCAAAATACAACTTCCGGATGTTTTAATGTTTCCTTAAGTTGTAATCACAGAACTTTCTCTAGCGTTTGCGAAAAAAAGCTGCAAGAGTTAGGCAAGCAGGTAGGAAACCAAACATTGTGTTCAACTGTCGAAGAGTGAAAAGTTGTGAAAACAACGAGATGATAAGAACACGTTGTTTTGCTGACCTTTTGGTCTTTTGTCAATTACCTGTAAATGATAGGACATTACTGGCGGTAGAAAGCATCCTTGCTATGTACATTAACATTCTTGGGGTAGAGACAGACGCGTCTTCGGTGACTTTTGAATCTTGGAACCGGCGGGGAAACTGTTGTATACAAACGATACCAGTGATCTTTTGACTTGTCGATGACTTAATATGCTTAAGAGACAAGTTCAAGTTGACAGTTCCGTTGAAATAAAGGTGACGTTGGTCTGGAAGAATTTATTGACGTATTTTACGGTTTCTTCCGGAAGTCGTCTGTCAAATATTGGTGACTATGTGGCGAAGATTTCGGAAGAGGTTTTGAAATGATACACATTTTTCGTCAAATGTTCAAGACTGTGTTTCTCGAGACAGCTATTTTATGGCACCTGAGCTGATATAAGGTACATGTAGCATGTCCTACATTTTGACTACGCAACTTTGGATAAGAAAACTATATATTGTGTCTGCTCCAAACTTCCCTTGGTCAAACAAAGTGTTCTCAGCATTGGTATTTTAATCCGTTTTCACTTGGATCATATAATGTGATTTGTTCATTGGAAATGCTTTGTTTACAGGTGTCAAACTGATAAATATAACTGAGAAAACATAACTAAAACATTGCAAAAACGATGTCTTGAATTTCCTTATGATAAAACCTTAAACATCATATCCGTAATGAACAGTATCCCTTTCTTGTTAGAAAATAACTTCCGTATCTCAGAAATCTTATCAGTTATCGTCAAAAATCCTGACCCTACTGTTAACCGTACCTCTGACCTTGAAATGTGAACCAATATCAGGCCACCCAAGACACAAGTGATTTCGACTCCTTCTCTTCGATTTATACATCCTGGAACTGGTTTAAAGTCTTCTGGCAGGTTATTCAATCGATTTGGCCTATTTCCAGGCTGGTAGAGACCAGGAAAATGTACTGGCTACATACGATATACCTCTCCTTATTCGCCCCATTTGAATGACGAACAGTTGGGGTCGTGTGGCGTAACAGCAGAATGCTCGACTTGGAACCAAGAGATCCCGGGTTCGAGTCCTGACACGCCACCTAGCCTCCTTTTCAAGCGTTCCCGGATGGGTCGTTTTTTGGGGGGGAGTGGATCGGAGATATTATCTCCGTGGAGATATATGTAGGCCGGAGCTTCTATTGCGTGCGATCTACGTTTGATCAGAAAATACCCCCCCCCCCAAAAAAAAAACACAAGAACGGCCGATCCGGGAACGCCTGAAAAGGGGGCTACACGCCACCGGTCTTGTGTGCCCTTGGGAAAGGCACTTTACACGACTTTCCTCACTCAAGTGAAAATGAATATTGTCCTGTCCTGTATTCCTCCTCTGCATTAGTGGCGGCATAAGATAAGTTTATTAAACTTGAGTGTGCCGTTACCATGTCTAGTCATGAAATGTTGGAATAAAAAAAAATGACGAACAGTAGCATGCAAACAGAATGAGTAGGATGTGGAAACCATATCACTAGCCACTTGGCCACAGCAAGGGAAAGCCTTGCAAATATATCATGAGGTATAATCTTTACCCAGACAGTTTCCTTAATCTCCGTGATCCCCAAAGACCCATTAAAAAGTGATTATCGGTGTGTTTATCCGTCTGCGGACTTATAATGAGTGGATTAAGGCTGTCTGAGTAAACCCGTATCGCGCTAGACGCGTGCCCGGTACTGACCTGTACAGCTGTTCTAACGGATCAAAACTTTCGATCTGACACCATTTCTAGGACTGGTGGAGGATAGAAGAATCTATGACGCGTTTGAACATAATCGGTATTTGAAAAAGACTGTGTGTTTAAGGCAAGGAGATGCCTTGGTTTGGGTTATGAGTCTGAAAACAAAGTACAGAATGGAACTGATGGTCACACACAAACCGCGCGTAGAAGCGCCACCTTGTGGCGACATTGTACATTGCAAAAATGCAATGCATGCTTCCAGTTACCATAACTTCAGTATTGTTTTATATTGAGAGACGCGTGCCCGGTACTGACATGTACAGCTGTTCTAACGGATCAAAACTTTCGATCTGCCACCATTTCTAGGACTGGTGGAGGATAAAAGAATCTATGACGCGTTTGAACATAATAGCTATTTGGTAAAGCTTAAGCGTGTAAGTTAGGGCAAGGAGGCGCCTTGGTTTGGGTCATAATGATGAAAGCAAGTACAGTACATGTATGTATGAATGGGACAGATGTCGGTCTCACCAAGGACCCTTCCTTGGTCTCACACAAACTGCGCATAGAAGCGCCACCTTGTGGCGGTATTGTACATTGCACAAACAGAATGCATTTATCCGGGAACAAAAAAAACTTAGTATTTATTGTTAACGTTTATGCTGACATTCCGTTGATTAGAATAAAAACTTATCCCTATTTGTGAATATTACACGATTTTGTTTAAATCTTTGAAGTTCATTTCAATAAAAAGAGCATGTTGATATACTCTCTTTGTGTTGTAACAAAAAGGCAAACTTTATTATAACTGATGTCGAGTTTCTTCATTGTTATTTTCCAGTTAAGCATAGTTTTATCAAATGCATTATCTGTTATATAATGTTTATTTTCCTTTGGTCTTACAGCTCTTGTTGTCCGGTATATCACAAGGCGGTTCATAGGTGATTATGACCCCACGTTAGGTGAGTAAGCATAATGTACTTTTCAATGAACGCTTTGTTTTGTTTACTTGTTGTTCAATGACAGTTGAATATTCAGAATAATTAGAAATGCTCGGGAGGCGCCTTAAAAGTGAGTTTGGCCATTGCTCATTCATGGACGCCATCTATCGGCTAACTGTAAAATTACAGGCATATTTTGTAACGAAGAAGGATCCAAATCATTGTCATGTCAAAGGTTTGACGATTGTGTATTTTCTATGAACTATCACCTCTGTTTCAGTAATATTTTGACTAAATAGTCAGACATCTGATGCAAGAATCTTACATCCAGTTTATACATTTGATATCTTTTGACGTTTTAGAAACAATCTACAAGTGCAGTACGTACGTGGATGGAGACGAACTGCAGTTTGAGATCCTGGACACAGCAGGACAGGTAAAGCACATTTCCTGATGCAGACGTTGTATTTTTCTGTTATCTGGTATAAAAATAGCTTAAATCTACGTTAGCACATCTCAGTGTCTTGAGCTTAAATAGGGAACGACCAGATCTAGAGCTGTATCTTTAATTTTGTTTATAATATCCGTCTTCTTTTCTTCAAAGTGGCAATACACTCATGTACATGTGTTTTCTGGACGCTGTAATGTGTCACAATACAAGGACGCCCTCTAGCGGTTCAGATTGGAGCCGTCCCTAGTGCTGAAATGCCATCTCTTACTTGCACTTGGGTCTACCATTCCGTTAGTGTTAGGATTGATGACTACTCTTGTTTTCAAAAGATTGAAAATTGCAATTTCAATAAAAAGAATAAAAAAAGAGTGTACTTAGAGATTCTTTTATAAAACGTTTTGGTTTTGTTTGTGCTTTTTTCAAGGACGACAAAGCGATGACCTTGGAGGACAAGATTCGCTGGGGGGACTGTTTCATCATTGTCTACTCCATCACGGACAAGTGCAGCTTCGACGAAATCACCAGAATCAAGTTCCTCATAAACCACGTTCACGGCCTCCAAAACGACCGGAAGTTCGGCTCCTCCAACGACCGGAAGTTCGAACCTCCCGTCATGCTTGTCGGCAACAAGAAGGATCTCCTATTGGACAGAATGGTGAAATCTCAGGAAGGAGAAAACATGGCGAAAATGTTGGGTTGCATGTTCTTCGAGGTTTCTACAAGAGAGTCGTACGGGGAGGTTAGAATGGCACTGGACAGTCTAGCCAGGGAGTGTAAGAGGAGGTTTAGGTCGTCTGCGTCGCCTGGCAACCTGAGGAGAAGAATCAGCTCCGGTCGTCTGTTTTCCTCAGACAAGAAAAAGTCGTCTGATCGGAGATTCAGTGTGGACGTTGTGAACGAAACGCCCAGAACGACCAGACGGGCGGCAATATACACCGAATAGAGACATTTATAATCACTGAAACAAATATGTATATATATCATAATCGCGTCCGCTTATTTATTTGCTATAGAAATATATCTTTCGTAGTACATGGGGTAGCATGATATTGGCAAGTTCGCATGCAAAGAAGTTCAATCAGATTGAATCTCTTTGGTACATGTAAAAAAAAGTTGTCGATACAAAATTTGTAATGTCTCTCTTTACTAAATTATAATCAAGTCACTATCAATGTGAATATGGCAAATTCTTTATTTCGATGTAATTGAGTACAGCATTCTAAAAAGCAATTTCAAAAATCTTGATATTTGTGTATATAATATACCAATATATTATCCTGACAGTTTGTAATATAGTGCGTTGTAAAGTATTTGCAAAATATTTGTATAGTAAATGATAACAGTACGGCCAAAAGATAGTATCCACCAAACAGCTAATAGGGCTTAGAAAATAGTAAAAATTTATCAAACAAGGCTGATTTATTTGCCAATATCTACTACCATTCTTTGAGTCCAAAACGGAGCCTGGTACAAGATATTTGTCAGATTTTAGCATAATGTTATCAGAACTCACACACCCCGTTCTCAAACAAGCTTGTCACGGGACGTTTTTTCAAGTAATTACGTATACGTCAAACGGTCATAAATTTCTGATAAAAGAAAGGTGGTCTCTTATATACATATTTAAGAGTCCACACACCATTTCTGGATCATATTCCATTTAGCATACAGTGCAGGCAAATTTATGATTTGTGATATAGTGGTTCGCAAATGTTGTTATATCTAAGAAGACAGTATAAACATTACGAATTGGACTATAAATTTCTAAGGTTATCTGTGTATTTTCGCCAAGCCAACAACAATTCACATATTTGAATCGAAAATCGTAGAAATCAAACATTACTGCTTCGTAATGGAGAAATACGATGTAAAGATACCTATAAAAAGAACAAATATTTGTATAAAATATAGCTTAAATGTTGATAAATATCGAAGTCTGTACATGTTTTGTGTAAATGTGGCTATACGAGAGGTCATAAAATGGCTCCTAGGTGTAAGTGATTTATTGATATCTATTAGGGTTGAGCATAACAAAGTAATAAAACTTTTATATGCTTGTATAAGTGTGTGGATGTTCTTGTGGTTGCTATAGCTGGGCAGGGTACGGTCTAAAGGTTGAAAGTAGGGCGAGATACTGGTGTCCTTAGTTCAAGGTAATGAAAGGTGAAGGTGACTGGCTTCAGGATCAAGAGGTTATGGGTTCGAATCCCGTTCCAACCATTGGAGTTTTGAACCCAGATTTGACATGCACGTTATGGTTGTAGTTTTTGTGAGGTAACGGTTGCTACCGCTGTTTTGGGAGAGAATACAATAAACTCATGAATAAAGGACACATACACAATACTTACGTGTACAGATACGGGAAGAGTTAATAGTACATCTTTGTGTGTGGTAATAGCCCATATATAAGATGAGGTCACACAAAAACAAACAAACATATACACGTACACACGCACACACACATACGCACGCACGCACACGCACGCACACACACACACATACAGAGAGAGAGAGAGACAGACAGACAGACAGACACACACACACACACACACACACACACACACACACAAATACATCGAATGATTAGATGATTGTAAGCTAATAGAAGACCGACTACCACTCAGAAAACATAATGAATTTTAACCTACTGACATTTGATACTATAACGTGGAGATCTCCAAGCTAAATCTACGATCTGTCCTGACATCTGCTTAGTTATCATTCTTATAGTAATGTTTCCGACAGCGAAAAGTTCGCTTCTGCAAGGGTGTGATCACGTTCTTTGTGTTCTTTGCAATTATACAAGTAAGGCCCCAATTAGCACAATATATGTATGTCATCGCTGTACTTCTAATAAAAGCTGCTAGGGGGACCAAACTTATATGTCTCTTCTTTCTTTTCAACGCTTTTTAGAGGTGAAATATTATAACCATAGCATGTTAACAACAGAAGATAGAACAGCTGAAAGTGTTTATTTGAGTACCAAGGAGAGCCCCAAGGGCATCTGAAAACAAAACCTCCATGACGGAGGTAATAATACAGCAGATTTTCACCCCTATGTAGTAATCACTCATGGTACGTTCCGTCCGACCTGGTGGTGCGCATGCGCAGCTATGTGGTCGTGTGTTGGTGGGTCTTCTGATGTTCCCAGTTCCTTCAAAATTTAGGGTAAATTTTCCTAAATTTTCGTCTTTTTGGCAGCAATTATCCGTGTTAAAGTGTTCAGTTAGCCTAAGGAACGTTTCCAGGGTGGATTTATGCCGTTCTTTGGATGTTTGTGAGAGAAACTCATCATTTTTTGACCGGACGAAATTTGGACAAGAATTTGAAGAAACGAAGGTGCTGATGATATCAAGACGACTCGTTCTATTAAAATTATATGAGGTAAGGACAACAAACTATCTTGAATATTGTATTTCCAACAAACTTGTAGGAAGTTTTTGTGATGCTAGCGGTTATATTTCATGCAAACTGACGGAGAAAAGTGGCGTGTATTTTTAGAACTAACTTCGCATTTGTCTCCTATTATCGTTTTCATAAGCCGGCCATTTCGTACTTGGCCACTTAATATGGAAGTTCTTTTCTTGGATAGCTTGTCTTTGGAAAACACTGACTGTATTTTTACCCCGTTGAGTGACATTTTGAGAAGCTATGGGCTAAGTTTCGTGCAGGAAAACTGTCAGAAACACGTTTTGCTTTGTTGGAAATTTCCGCGCACGTGGCGGGTGAACACCTGGTGGAATACGCCGCACGTGTGCATAATAATCCAAATTGAATTTTCCCGCCAAAAATCTCGCGTAAACAATATACTTGGGCTTGAAATACTGGGTGCATGTGCACTCTTTTGTTCACCCCAAAATTGAAGGTGCATCTTTTATTTTCTGGGAACCCCAAAACTGATCTTTTAATAAGGCCACAGCAAGTAATTTTATGGATGACATCAGCGCGCGCATTCATTTTCGCCTGATTTTGGAAAAAAAAACAAGAAATTTTGCTGCCCTCTGACAGTGGTCAACATGCCGAAAATGGGCAAAGATGTCTGTTGCCCTGCCAGAAGGTGAATGGCAAATAACTATAAAGAGAGGAGACAAGAAAAGGCTCTGATTTAATGTTTCATTTCTTACTTTGATGCAGTGATATGTGATGCTGGCTGTGTATATGTAATGTTCCCACTGAATCAAAACCATTTGTACAATGATTGAATAAAAATGTGAAAATGTAGGAACCTTGTTTTTTCGGCCTGCCTTGTTTTTTTTTCGCCCGCTCGCATTAGATTTGGAGTCAGCGGAGGATTGCCAAACCATTATTTGTTTGTTCATCATTTGTTCAACCCTCCAAACCACATAGATTTTATAATGAAAGCCATTTTTTTTCTGGCCAAATTTTTTTTTATTCTCACGCATCAGTTTTGGGGTTCCCAGAGGATGTCATCCATATAATCAAATCAACATGGCCTAATATAACACTTAGTCTACTTATACCTTCATATAGTTCGGTCCTGATGTTCCTACCTTGACGGTGACAAACCTGTGAGTGTGATGATGGGCATCTTCTGTCCACACCAGAGCAGATGGGTAAACCAGTTAAAAAGGTGAGACAGTGTTTTTCAACTTGCATGTTTACTTCATCTCTTAATTGTTAAGAACTGCTGGGCCTAATACACAACCAGTATCACATTCTTTACATTATAATTATATAAACACTTTTTGATGTAGATGTAACGTTAGATGTTAGATTCCTTAAATGCATCCAGTGCAGTTTTTGGGGCTTGGAAACCCGATTTTTCAAAGTCAATATTCTAGTTACTTATCTACATAGTGAGTTGAAACCACACTACCCCAATGTATATTGACCCACATGGAGCAAAAATTCCCAAAATTCTGACGGGAAATGGCAATACTGCAGTTTTAAATATTCAAACTTTCTCAAAGTATAAAATAATGATTGAAATGTGCTAATGTGAAGATGTATGTGTCAATATCCTAAAGATTGCCTTATTCAGAATATTTCCAGTTTTGCTGCTCTGAAATCACATGGGATGCCTTTAAGGCCAGGTAGGAATTTGGGCCACTTTTGACTTCATCCAACAGTCATCTCAGGTTGCAGAGGATGATCTAGGGCTCTGTAGTTATATACTACTGGGTGTAGCCTCATATGGTTGTCAAACCTTGATTTAAAATACAGGTAGTTAACACTGGGTGCTGTGATCACGTCTTCACAGGTAATCCGTTCCACCAACATGCTGTTCTGTTCGTGAAGAAGTAAAGTCTTGTGTTCGTTTTTGCCGGCATCCTGTTTATTTTCAGGTGATGACATCTAAGATGTTATTTTTTTCTGATGATATAGGTAGTAGACATTTTGTATCATACAGGCCATGGGTGTACTTGTAGACATTAGTCATGTCGCCCCTCAGTCTTCTGTAAACCACCAAAGTAGGGAGCTTGAGTGTTCTGACTGAGCCTGTCTTCGTATGGCAGTTCTTGTAAGCCAGGCACTCTTTTGGTCGCTCGCTTCTGTACTTTTTCAAGTTCTATAGCAAACTACCAAGTGTGTGGCGACCATATAGGAGCTCCATACTCCAGGTGAGGGCGTATAATTGTTTCGTAGAGTGTAAGAAACATTTCCTTCTCCATGTGTTCAAAAGTTCTCCAAGTTAGCCCAGTTATCGGGTTTGCCTTTTTTTTTATAATGGGCATAATGTGGTTGGCAAAGCCCAAGCTCTTGTCTACTTTAATTCCCAAGTCTTTTTCTTCTTCTGAGAATCTCAGGGGTATGGGGTCGGGATTCCCATTTTCAGACATGTTCAGTTGTACGTGTAGTTTGGGTGGCCGCTTCCGACTCTCAGGATCGTGCACTTGTCCAGTTGTGTTTCTGCTTTTTCTGCCTCAGTTCTGGCTGTTTTGTCTCCATCCACGTGCACTAAGTCAGGAATGCTGTCTCTAGTCGATTTTTTGTTCGATTTTTTGTTTACATACTTCCAGAATAATTTGGTATTTCCTTTGATGTACATGGCCACCTCTTTCAACATGTTTCTTTACAGCTTTTCTTGAAGCCCAGCGTGCCTGGTTACGAATATTTCATGTAGTCTTCTTTCTTTTCCTTTCTATATATACCTTTTCCATGCTTTCTGTAAATTCTTTTCCATTTTTACTGTAGTTTCATTGTCTTTCCATGATACTTTGATAGCCTTCTGTTTGAGTGTTTGGCTATGGGTACATAACTTGTCTGTCTCTTTTAGGGCTGTGGAAAATGTATCCCAGATTTCGTCATTGTAAATGTCAAGGTTGCTTAAGGTTTTCTTCCAGTCCTTTTGTAGGTCCAGGAGTCTTTCATGTTTTCATATACTAGGCCCTTGTGGTATAGTGGGACTTCCCTTCTGGTGTGACTTTTTTTTGCATATCTAGCACTTGAAG